AAAAAGTTCGCGAACTAATTGAATAACTTACATAAAAGAAATAAAATTAGATTCCGGTGTTTATTATTTTTTAAAGTAGTCCTCTCCAATTTTAATGCACATCTGCAATTGTTCTGCCATGCGCGAAACACGTGATCCAGGCGGTCACGTGACATGCTCCGTAGCATTCTGTTCACAGAAGCTAATAAATTTTAGTGAGTCTTATATTTCTTACAATGCAAGTTTAAAAAAAAAAAAACAAACAAAAAAAAAAACAAGAATAGTCCATTCGTCAAAAATGGCCAAATCTCGGCAATAGGATGGGTGGATAAGGATATGTTTTCCCAGAATGAGCATGGTGAGCATCACAACCCGTTATCTCTGTCTTGGATGCGTCGTTTTCTCACTGTGGATAAAGCATGGGCGCCTTCTTTTTATCATTTCTGATATGTTTAAAATCTAAAGTAAACGGTATTTTAGAGTTTTATTAATTATAATATTCTTAAGATATTCAACTATATTTCTAACTGTAACTTGGCCATCTTTCATAACAATTTGCTATACTAAGGACACATCTCTTCCTCAGCTTACTTACACTGGGCACCAGAACAAACATCATTTTTAATAATCTCCCTTCCTTCACTAAAACAATCAATTCAATTAATGATTGAACTTCTGGCAAGTCTTTTGTCTTCATAAACCTTGTACAAATTATTATATACTACTGCAAAGGAGTTTCAAAGATATACGTTAAAATTACAGCCTTTCGTTGCTCGAGTACGACTAAGTCAGTCATTTTTTGTCACAAGTCATCTACATATTGACGTCATTTTCACATTGTGACGTCACAAACATGGAACAAACAACACATAACACCTACTATTTATAGAACATGTTTATGAATATATGGGTGCCAAATTTCATTCTGATCTGAATAGTGATTTTGTAAATATAGAGATAGTTCGCGAACTTTTTGATCACCCCTCGTATTAATACGGACTTTCCAGATGGAACGTCTGACTCCAGTTGTTGTTTCTTACTGGGTTTATTGTAAGCTTTTTGACTTTTCTGATCAGTTGTTGTTTCAGGGGATGTTGAAGATTCTGTTGTCTCCATTCTAACACACTGTGTGTGTCTGGTCACACCTTGTAATTTGGAATCCTTTAGGTCCTTTGTGTCAGTCGCTTTAGCTTTTGTAACTGGTTCCCTTGTTTGGGTTGTTGCATCCACTGATTTAGCATTTTTAACCTGTAGAGAATGCAATTCCAGTTTTAGTCTAGCAACTTCTTCGGAAACATCAGACACAGTCTTTGTTAGTTTTTCAATAATTTCAAAACTATTGCAGTTTTGGCATGGCCGAGTTTCCACATCTTGTGATTTGCAATGTTTGGGTGTAGACATATTTTGTGGCTCTGGCATTCCTCTTCCTTCGATTTTACTAATTTCGGTTATTGGTAGATGAGTAATTTGTTCTAAGAATCCTCTTAGCCAAGTGAATCTTTCACTGCCTTGAATGTGGATTGTTTGGGTTGATTTAGACAGCGTGGCTGTAACATTACCATTACATGATTTGTAGATGTTTCCATTTTTAAATCCAGTTTTGGTAAACAGTAGATCATTGTTAAGAATGGTCACAATGTCGTCAAACTTTTCTTGCTCATAGTTCAATGTAACACTCTGTTTGTGGAATCTCACTCGTAAGAAATCTGGCACTTGAACATCAAGGAATGGATCTTCTTCGTCAGATAAAGAATCAGAATTTCCTTGTGAAAATGAAAGTCCAAAGGTATCCAAAATAGATCTAACTAGATGCTGTCATGAGACAGTAATACCTGCAGTAATGTGTTTGCCTCTAAATGCAGGCACGTAGCATCAGGGGGACCAGAGGGGGCCTGCCCCCTTTTTTTTCGAAACATAACTTTTTACTATTGAAAATGTTCATGAACGGGTGGTTGCCCCCCCCCCCTTTTTGTTGCATTATAGTCAATCAAAGGTAATGTAGCAGTGTATGTATAAAATTGGAGTAGTGAAAGAAGTTGGAATCCACCCCCACCCCACGAAATAGGATTTTTGAGTTTTGAAAAAAAAAATTTTGGCTTGTCAAATTTTTTCAGGTAAGTTGAATTTTTTTTCTCTGGCTACCCCCCCCCCCCCTCCACTTTCAAAAACGTTGCTACGTTCCTGAAATGTGCTCTGACTCCTCGCCTTCAAATTCTGGTAACCAGGGAAGAAGCACACATTTAAATCAAGCAAAAAATGCTCAGGTGAACATGCAGTCCATAAGGGCCTCGTATGTAAATCAGATGCGGTTCCAGGAATTTTTTCCAGGGGGATCCAACCCAGAAATTTCTTCACAAGCAAAAAAATAATTTCTATTTCATGGTGGTGGGAAGGGGGGGGGGGAGAGAGAGGGTGGTTTGGCCGCTCAGTTTTTAAGCTTCATTTGTATAACTTTTCAACTTAACAGGGGTCTGTGTTTTCTAAGGGGGGGGGGGGTGTTCCAAGGTCACTTTTAGTTACTTTCGTATATAGATTTCGTGTAAAGGTTCCGGACCCCCTCCCCCCTCTAGATCCGCGCATGTAAATATTTCATTACCCGTCTGATATTACCTAATCATGTAAATTCTGATAAAGAGAGAATTTTTCAAAGATTTGTGTAAAAAAAAGGGGGATGGTTAATTTTCTACCCATAATTGGAACTTGTTGAATTTATAGTCAAAACAACAAATATTATTATTTTAGTGCATAGCTTTTTTGAAGAACTTAAAAAATAATAGATGCCAACTTGTGCAAATTTTTATCAGTATTTGGGTAGGACTCGGAGAACCCCTTTCCAAATCTTGACCCAATCAATTTTGTCAAAAATCAACCCCACCCTCGATTCACCCGTTTTCCTGTCATATTTAGAATAGATAACACAAAGTTATGAAAAAAAGGGGAAAAAATTGTATGTAATTATAATATAAATTTTACAAATGTACACCTTTAGACGCGTGCGTGGAATTACGTCACACTGCGAGCACTACTTTTACCGTTATCATTATTGTTTTGCACATGGTGTACATCATTATTACCACTGGGATTATTAATATTTAGTGTGTGTTTTAAATGGATTTATTATTCTATCAAGTTAACAGTACCTATAACAGGCGGTAAGTACATTATGAATATTATTTTAAACTTTTAGTATAGAACGGGGTTTGTTTGTTGTTTAATGTCCTTCTCGAGAATTTTTCACTCATATGGAGACGCCATCTCCACTTGCCGGTGGAGAGCTGCAAATTTTAACCTATGGTCGACACTTAGGGCCATTGAGCAGTGAGGGATCTTTTTTCTTGCAAACAACTACTGCAACACGGGACCTCGGTTTATACAGTCTCATCCAAAGAACTGGTCTCCACGTCCCGCAGTGGATTCGAACCCGCGACTTAAGGATCAACTCCTTACTCCACGACTCTAGAGCAGATGTTCTAACCACTGCGCCACACGGGCGACTAGAACGGGGTAAAATAATCGGAAATAAAAATGGTTAGGGGTCTATAGTTGAAAAAGGGTCAAAGATCATTGGAATGCCACAATTATACAAATTATACAATAAGGCAAGTCCCTGGGGTCATTCCACTCAATCTTTGGAACAGGAAACAATAAAATAGCTGTCATTAGAGCAAAAGCCTCCAAGTCATCTTTGTATTATAACACACTAAATAGGATATATGGGGTCATGACCCCCCAGAGGTCATTCCCAACCCCTAAAACTTCAAATAATCATATACATTGTATCTTGAAAATGGTTGAAAACTCTCCCCTTAGCCATATATAATATTGTCCCTCGAGTCATTATGCATTAAATCGTATAAAGGTTATGACCCCTTAAATTGAAGTCATCCTCATCCAGAAACTGGAAATAATCACAATATGACCTGCGTCAAAAGTGTGTTAGTGATAATCTGCTTGACATTTTATTCAGGACCCCCTAGGGTCAGTCCACCCTCCTAGAATTAGAAAATGAAAATCATTCAAAGACCTGCCATTATACTTTGTGTACATGTACATTTTTGTATTATTCACAATTTATTTTATACCAAAACAAGTTATAAATAATTTGTATAAATAAATGAGCCTGGAGCTGGGAAGGGGGAAAAGGGGAAGGAGTTATGTCTGCATGGTTTTGAATGTTGAAAACTTCTAAAGTTTGTGAATATTAACCCGGCCGTTTCCCACTTGTCATCATTATTTACTGATCTTTTCACAACATACATGTGTCTTTATTAAATCAATAGATCATGGACTTTTTTGGTCATATGCCTAGCTCTCCCTTGAATCAGGAATGGTGATATAAATATTTCAAGAATGATTAAGAATTAAAACGGGTCTTGCACAATCTCTTAAAATTGATTAAGCTCTGTAGTTGAATTAGCTATACTGGTATAGCTTGGTTTTGCTATTCAAAACACTTTGATTTAGCTATTTATTCATACTTTTTTTTAATGTACATTTTTATCAATATAGATAAAAGTTGCACTATGTTGACATGGGTATAAATTTTAAATTTTTAGCTTTGAGTTTTCTGAAAACAATGCATGGAGGAAAATTGCTTTTCAAAAATTGTCTCCTGAGAATTTGCTATCACAGATATATACATTTTGCATGGGGCTATATACCTGGAGTAATCTCTCTCTCTCTCTCTCTCTCTTGAACATCTACTTGAGTCAAAATTAAAGTGGAATTATAAGACAATTTTTTTAAGTGATGACTTTTTAGGATTTTACACTAATTCATACTGCAGCAAGAATGTTATCCCTCCCAGAAAAAAAATAAGTTTATAACTCACTATCTTGTCTTTGATCTATATCTATAATTACAAAAGAACACAGCCAGAAGTCTTTTAACGTGGTTTGTTACAAATTTCACTTGGAACTCCTATTAATTTGCTCAAGATCAGTATTTTCAGTAGGCAGAAATGAACTTGATCAATTATGCTTGAAAAGTACTCACTGTGAACAATCACCTTACTTCCCTAATGTAGATTTTCCGTAAGATCCGTGGAATTCCATAACAAATTCCGTGGAATTCCATGGAAAAAGTGTTCCATGGAATTCCAAGGAATTCTCAAGAGTATTGGGACGGAACTTTTTCGGAATGGTATGGAATTTCAAATCTAGCCTGGAAAAGAGCGGAACAATGCCAGAATAGAAATTTGCGGAAATAGCTGGAAATCCATGGAATTCCAGGATATTTGGAAATCTATGGAATTCCACGGAAATCCAAGGAATTCCAGGAAAATACAAAAAACTGGAATAATCAAAATAATTTAAGGGCCAAATAATTACAAAAAAAATGACTACATCACAATTTTTCATAAATCAAATCTATATTTTCAAAATAAAAAATCATTTTTGCTTTACAATGTGTTTGGGGACAAATATTGCATACACACTTCTATGTATAATGAAAGCACAAATTTTAAAAAGTATTATCACTGAAAGTATTTTACATCAAAGGTTATTTAAACAATGTTATAAATCCACAGAAAAATATCATTACTGGATGATCACCTTGGTTTAATTAATGAGAATTATTATAATATACATGCATGTACATGTAGTAAATTACAGTCTGCATGAGAAACAAATGACTTTTGATTAAAGAAAATCCTTTGTACCTAGAGTAATCTCAAACATATGACACTTTTTGATAATAAAACAAAATAGATTAAAAAAAACCCCATTAATTATGACCTTTTGCTTCATTGAATGACCTTGGGAAAGGTCACTAAAGCCTTAACAGGGTATATTTGCAACATTTGTATGCAGTTACAATGATCTTCCAGTGGTCCATATACATTTACCATACAAAGTTAATGACTAGAGTGACAAACATAGGTATTAAGTACACAACTATCTACATTGTACTACACAACTATATTTGGAAGATCCCATAAAATCAACACATGCTATTTTTTTCCCCAACATGCCCCAAGATCCTAATTATTGAAGGTCCTAAACTTCTGAAGTATTGGCTAGAATCACTTCCTCACTGGTTCTGCTAGAGGGTGGTCAGATAATTGGTGTCACGAATGGATTCACTTTTGGTACAACGGCTTCAAAAGCTCAGCAAGTTTGATGTTGATCATTCCCAAAGACACTTCAAACTTTTCTTGCTCAATTTCTGAAAGAAAAGATTACCATAAAGATGTATGATATTTATCTCATATATGAATATATGACAAATAATAAACTAAAGCTATATAAGACAACCAGGCAGATCAGTTTAATACTGTAGAATAGGAATTCATTATCTTGTAATTTTTTGTTCAGATTAGGATTGATTTCTTTTTAAACTAATGGAAGTTGTGAAATTTAAAAAAAAATAAAGAGACATGATTGTGTCTAAGTTAATTAACCTTGAATATGAGAGAGAACATTGTAAATTACATAAACTATGTACCCTTAAAAACATTCAGCAAATAAAGTTAAGGTATGAAATAAAGTACATTAGTAAATATAATTTATATACCATATAAAACATTCAGTTTTGCCTTGTCAATGGCTCGTCTTTTGTCTCTTAAGCTTCTGATTAAAAGCACCTTGAACAGGAGTTTGGACGCCTATGCTGCCTTTGATATATTATCCTCCGTATCAGCTTACTCCGTTAACTGACCCTTGAAAAGAGGAAAAGACGAATTTATAGGCATATGTAATTGCTTTAAATGCACATTGGTTAATTTACAATGTAACAAAAATATAGACAAAGCAAATAAGATAAAGTGAATATATAGAATACATTTGTTCTAGGGTTCAAACATGCAAATACATGTACATATATTTTATTTTTGAAAAATTAAGAAAATATTAAATAAACTGTTATAAATAAATGTAACTTCCATGCATCAACAATTCAGTATTGAGTAAGATAATATATTAGTACATGTATACATGTACTTCTTTATTTCTGGAAATTTATATCTGCGACTAAGGTTATAGGTTTGTGTAAGAAATTAGAATATGATGAATGACATTGACAAGGCATAGGTAAAAACTTGTGAACAGGACAGAGAACTGACATAGGAAACAAGTTAAAAGCAACAACTTCTTAAAATAACTAAAATATATTTGAAAGAGTGGAGTCTAACATTCATAATAATTTTTCTCAATGCCTGGCTAACATTGATAAACACATAATTTCAATTCTTTTGATTTTATTGATTAGGAAATGATTAAAAAATCTTACTTTTGTGTAAATTTCCATACAGCTCTGAGCTCTTGTCCTTTTTGTGAGCATTCCTGTAAATAATGCATGCATGATTTTATGTCATAGAGTATAGTCATTTTTAATATTTATACTTAAATAAAATGTAAAATGATTATGCATGTACTCCATGTACATGTAGGCATTTAGCATGTTTAGATTACCTGTCAAAAGTTATAATTGTTATGCATTATTGAGGAATTAAAAATATAAATCTCTTGTTACTTGCTCAATAAAAAATCTTATGCTATAAAACATTAATTTATAAAAACAATGTTAGTTTATTTGTGCTGAATGATAATTTGAGCAGGCTCTCACCATTCTCACAAGCTAGGTGACTGATTGACTTAGCATCTACATCTACATATTAGGACATTTCATCAAACTTGATGATTATAAAATTGCCGGCGCTGTGCGAATCGAGTACTTCAGCTATAAAATAATAAAAGTAAGTGCTGTGAATGATCATGAACATGCATTAGAAAATAGATATAATTATTTACATTGTACTCTGTAAATTTTAGTAGTACCTGTACTAAGGAATGTTATTAGCTAATAATTTGGACCAGATTTCTGAACTGGCCTCAAAGAGGCTGCCGACACCACTGAGCATGGAAGAGAATTCCATAATGGGGGGGGGGGGGGGGGGAGCTTAATATTTAAATTATCTGTGCAAGTACTGAAGGTCTGAAAGTAAGGAGGACTTGAAATGCCTTTGTTGGTGGTAGTCTGTGAAACTAAATAGAGGCTTGGGTCTACCGCAACTAAGTTGTGCACAACTTTATATCATATAGACGGCTGATAGAGCATTATTAGTCTACCACTGTCTACCCGTTTTTGCTGCGCTGTAAACATGGTAAAGATAGCCAATTTAGATGTTGCAACATGTTGGAGACACTAATAGTGTTATGATGTCTGTGTACGATGTAACATGGACTGTCGTGGCGCAATTGGCAACGTGCCACTAGCATATATAGCGAGGTCTAAGGACATGTACGAACGGAGGAAATTCGGGTTGAAATCCACACATTGTTCAAACATATTTTGATAAGAGATGTTTAGAGTTGTACAATAATTATTACAGAAATGAAACTGCGCTCGCCCTAATGGTTTCATCGTCGGGCATTCTATGTGTGTGGTGCCCAGACTGGGGAACAGTCAATTATCCATTCAACTTCAAGGACACATAAAATACTGTACATTGTACCTACCGGGTCTTAAAATGTCTGCATCTTTTGTCAAAATACAAATTCCATTCCAAGCTAATAATGACAGCAGTTCCCTTCTTCGTGACACTCTTTTTCCTTCTGTCCAACAATAAAACATGGCAGCCGAATTGTTGAATTTTGGCGGGGTGTGGTTTAAATTAATTGTTCATCGAGCCCGACATCGATCCCGACGTAATTGTACTATTAGCCGACAGTTTAAGAAAAAATTCTAAGTTATTTTCCACAACTTTCCAGAGCAGAAAATGTCTAAGTTTCTCATTTTATCAGCTTTTCCATAGAATTCCACAACTTTCCAAACCTCAAAATGTCTAAGTCCAAATTTGTTATTCAAATTCCAAAAGATTCCAAAAACTTCCATAAACACTTTTAGACTCTTGTATGGAAATGTTTGGAATTCCATGGAATTCCAAAACTTTTCCCAACCCTTTGGAAAATCTACATTAGGGTTGTTGAAGACAGGTAAACATACCCCTCAGGGTATAATTATCATACAAAGGCCTGTACAAAATTGAAGTCATAATTAAATCATCATTATCTTAGTTAAGATAAGGAGAAACACACTAGAGGTGTGATGAAATATTTAGAAACATAGAGTTTTATTTCTCATGCAAAATATTCTTTCTTGTGTAAAACATAACAATTGTTCAAATAAAAGGCCAAACCTTCTTTTAAGGGGAGAAAAGAATGAGTGAAAATTTAATGTTATTTCAAAAATCTTCTTCTGAAGAACCTGACTGGGCCAGAAAAGTTTAAAATTATGTGAAACTTCATTACTTAGTGTAGATTCAACTTTGTCCAAATCATGACCTTCAGGGGTAAGGTGCGGCCACAATAGGGGATCAAAGTTTTGTAAACATGGGAATGTACAGTAAAACACGCTTATAACAAAGTGCGTGGGACGGACGATTTTGCTTTGTTATAAGTGTAATTGCTTATATCCATTAAGTTTACAATATATTTTAAAGTCACTGTTATAAGTGTAATTGCTTATATCCATTAAGTTTACAATATATTTTAAAGTCACGGAGAATGAAAATCGCTTTGCTGTAAGTGTCAATTCATTATAGGCTTGTTTCACTATAAGTATGCTTTACTGTATAAGAAAAAAATTCCTTCTCAAGAACCACTAGGCAAGAAAAGTTGAATCTTATGTGAAAGTTTCATTACATAATGTAGAAACAAATTTGTTCTTTCAAAACTACTCCTCTAACAGGTTTGATGCAACAAGTAGACTATACTAGTCTACATATTTTTTTTGCCAGTTTTCTTCTTCAATCAAATTTTGTCCGAGCCTTAACTTGACAACCCTTTGACATTAAGACTTCAAACTTGGAACATGGAGAGGTGGTATGGAATTGGGGTTGAGGCCACCGAACTCTTTTTACCTTGACCTTTGGATAAGGTCAAGGTCAATCTTTACATAAAAATATAGTCCAGGCTATAACCTGAGAACCCTTTGACATTAGGATTTCAAATTTGTAACGTAGAAAAAAGACATTTACAAAAGATGCACTTGACCTTGACTCCTTTTTTCATTCAAGGTCAAAATGAGAAAAACACCTCCAAACCATAACTTAAGAGCCTTTTGACATTAAAACTTCAATCTTGGAACATGGAGAGGTGGTATGGAGAAAGGGTGTATGCAAATAAAATTTTTTACCTTGTTTTTATGCCCCGCCATGAATATGGCCGGTGCATATAGTGTTTGTCATGTCCGTCTTCGGTCCTCTCATCCTTCCGTCCTTCCGTCTGTCTTTCCGTCACAATTTGCATTTAGCTCTGTTCAAATCTCAGTTTCAAAGAAACTATCGAAGATATTTTTATCAATCTTCATATGCTGATAGATATTGATGAGGGCTATGTAACTGCATCAACATTTTTTGACCTTGGCCTTTCCTTTGACCTTGACCTCACTTTTCTTAAATTAGTGTTTAGCTCAGTTTTAAAGATACCATTCAAGATAGTGTAATTAAACTTCTTACATTGATACATACTGATGTAAGCTATTCAGCTGCATCAACATTTTTGACCTTGACATTCCTTTGACCTTGACCTCAATTTTCTTAAATTAGTGTTTAGCTCAGTTTTAATGAAATCATTCAAGATATTTTAATCAAACTTCATATGCTGATACATACTAATGAGAGCTATTCAACTGCATCAATATTTTATGACCTTGACCTTTCCTTTGACCTAGACCCCACTTTTCTGAAATTTGTGTCAAAATTCATATGCTGATACATACTGATGTAAGCTATTCAACTGCATCAATATTTTTTGCCCTTGAACTTTCCTTTGACTTTTACTTCATTTATTTTAAATTAGTGTTTAACTCAGTTTTAAATAAACCATTCAAAATATTTTTATCAAACTTAATACGCTGATACGTATTTGTGAGAAATATTCAACTGCATCAAAAATGTTTGACTTTTAACTTTCCGTGACCTTGACCTCACTTTTCTTAAATTTGCAATTTGCTTAATTTTAAAGAAACCATTTAAGATATATTTATGTAAGCTTATGCACTTGTACATAATTTGGTGAGAGTTTATCTTCTATATCCAACTTTTTAGGTTTCAATTTCAATTTTAAAGAAACTATTCAAGATATTCTCATCAAATTTCATACATTAATACAAATTTTCATGTTGCATTACTAATAAACCCTCAGCAGGGCATTCATGTCGTATGGACATATTTCTAGTTGTATAAAAAACCGTCATTTTTCGACCCCCAGTTGACCCCAATGGTGAGAATGAAAATTACGAAACCTTATTGCACAACTACAGGACACCACCAATCATCTTCCAAAAGATGATTAGACTGCTGTTTAAAATGTAGGAGGAGTTCTGGGAACCACTGGGTCTTTTTGTATAAAAAACATCATTTTTTGACCTCCATTTGACCCCCAAGATGAAAATAAAAATTCTGAAACCTTATTGCACATTTACAGGACAATACCAATCATCATGCATCCAGCTCATTGGGGGGCGCCAAAGAAACTAAAAACTTCATAATTGGGAATATACACTTAATTTGATTGCCGAAATATGGCAGAAATATTGCCGATGTGGCGTTAAACAATAATGATCAGTCATAATCAATCCAAAAGATGATTAGGCTGTTGTGTAAAATGTAAGAGGAGTTCTGGGAACCAGGGGCTTTTTGCTTAAAAAACCTCATTTTTTGACCAGCATTTGACCTCCAGGGTGAAAATGAAAATTCCGAAACCTTACTGCACATCTACAGGACACCACTAACCATCTCCCAAAAGATGATTAGGCTACTGTGTAAAATGTAAGAGGAGTTCAGTGAACCTGGGGCTTTTTGCATAAAAAATGTCATTTTTTTCGACCCCATTTGACTCCCAGGGTGAAAATGAAAATTCCGAAACCTTACTGCACATCTACATGACACCACCAAACATCTCCCAAAAGATGATTAGGCTACTGTGTAAAATGTAAGAGGAGTTCAGCGAACCAGGGGCTTTTTGCATAGAAAAACATCATTTTTCGACCCCCATTTGACCCCAGGGTGAAAATGAAAATTCCAAACCAATACTGCACATCTACATGACACCACCAAACATCTCCCAAACGATGATTAGGCTACTGGGTAAAATGTAAGAGGAATTCAGGGAACCAGGGGTCATTTACATTAAAAACGTCATTTTTCGACCCCCATTTGACCCCCAGGGTGAAAATGAAAATTTCGAAACCTTACTGCACATCTACAGGACACCACTAACCATCTCCCAAAAGATGATTAGGCTACTGGGTAAAATGTAGGAGGAGTTTGAGGAAGAAGAGTCTGACAGACGAACGGACGGACGGACAGACATGAATGACAACAATATACCCGAACTTTCTTTTGAAAGTGCGGGTATAATAAACTTGTATTTTCGTTCAAATTACATTATTTACCATATTCAGAAGCACAAATTATTACTGATAAGGAGAAGCATTGTAAACACATCCTTTTACCTCGAGATCTTATTTACTATCTATTAGGGGGGGGGGGGGCATTTTTACCCGTATCTCCAATCACGTGTTTGATTCTGTCATCAAATACATTAAACCATAAGGTTTTGTACTGAGACTTCTCCATTTTATCTAAGGATGTCTTACTGATATGCTTATCAGATAACTTCACTCTAACGCTCAGTAGACTTATCACACGTTAATGCAAGTCTGATATAAAAAAAATTGTAGGAAATTAAGTATAAATCATAGAGAAGGTAATATCTTTGTCTTCATTGTTTTTCTTTTCCGAGTTGATATTTTCAAAACTCAGTGCATGGGTTCAGAAATAATAGCATGTTACAGATATTTTGAACTCGTGCTTTTAGCGTCTAATACTTTGTAATTGTCATTTTTCAGCTTTAAAAAAAAATCAAATTCTATCAATTCTATGAGTTGAAGCCCAAAATGAATAATTATTTATTTTTTGCTATCACCTTACATAAACAAGAAGGGGGTAAATTTGCAGGAAATTCTCAAGAATAAGTATTTAGTGTTGCAAAATAAGTCAAAAATTCATCCCATCTATTTTCTGTATCTTTTTTTTTTATTTAACAAATTTACTGTGGCAATTCCAGTACTGTATTTTTGTTGTTAATTGATTGAAATAACCATAGATTTAAAAATAAACCATACAGGTATAGATAGTATTAATGCATTATAAGTCTGGATATTCCCTAATAAGCTAGCGTTACAATCAGACATCACATCCGATATAGATTTACTCATCATGATTCAAATCTGAAAAAAAATCAGACAGAACATGAACTTTGAAGATTATAATGAACAGTAGTCATGCTCAAAAGTCCAATGAAACAATACAAAGTTGTATCAATACTAATCTGAAAACCGGGGATAAAACACAGACCCCCAGAAATTCTACAAATTCTAGAGATGGGTTCAGCGTTCCTAGGAGGAGTAAGTGTTTGACGAGGACCGGCCACACTCGCCGTGAACCCTGTGTATTGCTCAGGTAGATTAATATTCTACAGTCAAATTTAGTATAAAAAGGCCTAAAATTTAGTGTGAAATATGTCACTCAAATTACAATCCAACGATAGGTTAAAATTACTAAAAA